CATCTCATGCCTGATCTCATACTTTGAATAATACTCTTTTAAGCCTTTAGATGTGTATTCTCTACCATTATTAGTTCGAATACACTTCAAGGGTAACCCTGTCATTCTTTCAACCATGGCATGAAATTTTTAAAAATACTGTAGTACCTGACTTTTGTATTTCAACATATACACCTAAGTCTTACGTGAAACATCATCAATAAAAGTAATAAAATATTTGCTACCACCAATGACTCAACTTCAATGAGACCATATACGTCAGAATAAATTAATTCCAATCTATTTTCTTTTCTCTGAGAACTTTTACGAAAAAAAAACTCTTGATGCTTACCAAACAAACAATAATCACATGAATCGAGAGACATACCTTTGGTCAAGGGAATAAGAGACTGTCTTACCAAAACCTGTAACCTCTTTTCACTCATGTGTATCAGCCTCGTGTGCCACAAATTTGCTGAAGCATCATCTTCAACGGTATTTACCTAGTTACCGTTTAATTAAATCCATGTCTTATACATTATGCAACATAGTTTTCCCCTTGCAACTACCATAGATCTTTTGAGAAGTTTTCACTGTCCATTCTTTTTTCAACTTTCATATCCCTCATTATCAAGGATATTAATAGCAAGCAAGTTCATTCTCATATCTAGAATGTGTTTGACATCCCTCAAAGTCAACATGTAATCTGTACTAGTTTGTACAATAATATCACCAATCCCAACAATCTGCGACACACTCTTGTTTCCCATATTAGTACAACCAAAGTCTCTTACTTTGTAAGTTGTAAACAACTCTCTCTTAGGAACACTATGATATGCCGCTCCTATGTCAACTATCCACTCAATGTCGGGATCATTAACATGATTACAATCATCATGTGTACAAATCAAAGTAACTGAATCACTATCTGAATTCACTGCTACAATATTGCCATCATCTGAACTTTTATCTTTCTCATCTTTTCGCTCTTACTTCAAGATTTTACAGTTTCATATTATATGATCTGCCTTACCACAATAGAAACATTTTACTTTACCTCTAGACTTGGATCTATGTTTAGACTTAACACGACCTTTTAAGTCATAACCTCTGTCGATGTTTCTACCCTTGTTCTCTATGACTAGAGCTTGATTTTTAGGGTTTACATTTTTTCGCCTTGTTTTTCCATTAAGCATACTATCCTTTACCATCTCCAATGTCACCTTATAATCAGGAGCTAATTAAGAATAGTCACAACTAGAGTATTTCAATTATCTGATAATAAACCCAAAAAAAATAACGCCTTCATTTCATCATCCATCTTAAGCTCCATAATAGTCATCCGATTAAATATATCTTAAAAATCACTTAAGTGCTCTGTAACAGATCATCCATCCCTGTACTGTAAAGTTATAAACTTTTTAACAAGCATAACTTTATCATACATATTTTTCTCTCATACAATACTACCAATTTTTTTCAAACAATGTGAGCATCTGACTCTTGCGTTACATGATGAAATACACTGATATAAACCCATTTTTTTATTATAGCCAGCGTCTTTCTACCTAGCTTCTTTCAGCTTTCATCTTTCATATCTGCTGGTTTAGTCGAATCACCCAATACCGACTCATACAAATCTTTGCAGTATAGATGATCCTTCATCATAGGCTTCCAAATTGAATAATTCGATGCTGTCAATTTTATCATGAAACCTGTATCACCCTCCATGATTTCAAACAAAATTTATTTCTATCTTGAGTTGCTTCTGTATTAATGTCTCAAAATAACCCTCGCTCTGATATCACTTGTTGTGCCTGAAGCAATAATCATAATAATACGGAAGTAATAGACAACAATCAATAATAAAAAACGTAAGAAAAATAAAGCATACCAAGACCACCAAAAAAATCTTCACTATCAAATAATAGGTATACAAAGTTCTTCTCTAGCTAAAACTAGAGCTAAACAACAACTAGAGAAACAATTGGAGAAATTTCACCAAATAAGTGACTCAACAAATACACTCTAAATTTATTCCTAGAGAGCTTCAAACCTGATCTTCACTGTTCAGAATGTAGAACTCTGAATCATAAACCTCATGGCAAGGTTCCAACTCAATCGGATCATGGATCGACTTTCGTTCAACTAACTCTCCCTTTTTTTTTCTCTGCTTTTTTTGGCTTTTTTTTTTCTACATGATTTTTGACTCACCCTTAAAACAATCCCACCTCTTTTTTATTAAGTAGCTAGGGCTCTGTGTAAAATGAAAGATCAAGGCCCATGGCCTTTACTTAGTCCAAAACCACTTAAATGGGACTAGACCCCATTTTCCTAACAGAAACATGGCACAAAAGCTGATTCATAAACATGCATAATATGGGAGAAAGGCACACTTAAGATCTTCAATAATTCAAAGATGCAACAGTCAACGAACAAAACTTACAAAGAGGGAAATAGACCAAGAAAGAGCCGAACACAGCCTTAGACAGGGATGAGACATTTTGGGCGCAGAGATCTAGGGTGGAATGGCTTAGAGATGAAGATCACAACACTACCTTTTTTCCATGCCAGGGCTTCTCCAAGAAGAAAGGTGAATGTAATCAATGGCCTAGAAAATGAAAATGGAGAATGGTGTGAAACTGCTGAAAAGATTCAGTAAAAAACCACTAGTTACTTTAGACAACTTTTTCAATCTCTTGCGGCAAGGTCAGTGTGATGATATTCTTGAAGCCATTGGGAACCGAGTACTAGATAAGATAAATGACTTCCTATTAAAGGAGTTCAAAGCTGAGGAGGTTCTTATAGCACTAAAACAAATGCACCCTACAAAAACACCAAGACCTGATGGTATGCCTACTCTTTTCTTTCAAAAATTTTGGCATATAGTAGGTAGTGATGTGGTTAATTTATGCTTGCAATTCTCAAATGGAAATGGTGATCTTAGGGAGATAAACCACACAAATATTGTTTTGATCACAAAAGCAAATGTGGCATAATTTAGACCAATTAGCCTGCATAATGTGCTTTATAAACTCATTGCCAAAATTCTTGTTAATAGATTCAAGTTTGTCCTACCCCATTACATCAGTGAAACCTGGAGTCCTTTTTTCCTAAGGAGATTAATCACAAACAATGTATTGGTTGTCTATGAACTACTTCACTCTATGAAAAACAAAAGGATAGGTCGAACAGGGCAATTTGCCCTAGAGTTAGATATGAGTAAAGCATATGATAAGATCGAGTGGCAGTTTCTAGAAAAAATGATGCATAAGCTAGGTTTCAGACCAAGATGGGTATCCCTTATAATGAGATGCGTCAAATCAGTATTCTATTAAATTGTTGTAAATGGCCAGATTACTAACAAATTTATCCAAAGATATGCCTTAGGCAAGGTGACCCTTTATCACCTTACCTGTTTCTATTTTATTGCAAGGGACTATCAGTAGCTCTTATAAAAGCCTAAGAGAGGGGTTAGTGCATGGTGTTCGAGCTAGCCGTAATGGACCCCGAATCACTCTTTTTTTTTTTTTGTTGATGATAGCTTACTTTTTGTCAAGGCGATCGAGGGGAAGGCGACAAGGTGAGGGACATGTACGAACATATGAAGTAGGTTCCGCCTAAAACAAAAAAGTATGAAAAGTCTGCATTATTCTTTAGCAGCAACACAGACACCTAGCACAAAGATATTTTAAAGAATTTGTTTGGCATCCAAGCAATAGAAAGTCCAAAAAAGTATCTAGGACTACCTGCCATAGCAGGTCGAGGGCGAAGGAAAGCATTTAGAGAACTGAAGGACAGAGTCCAATCAAAACTACAAAGGTGGAGTCATAGAAGATTATCTTTTAGGGGCAAGGAGATTTTTGTTAAAGCCATACTCCAAGCAATCTCAGCTTATTCTATGAATTGTTTCAAGCTGCTGAAAGCTATGTAAAGAACTTAATGGTATTTCTAGTAAGCACTGGCGGTGGCAAGAAGGATCAAACGGCATACATTGGACGAAATGAAAGAACATGTGCATCTCGAAATCTCGTGGGGAAATAGATTTGGAGACAATGGAGCTCTTACAAAGCAATGCTTGGAAAGCAATGATGGAGGTTGCTGACACAAATTGACAGCCTTGTGCACCAAGTCATCAAAGCAAAATACTTCCTAGATTGTTCCTTCATGGAAGCGCGACCGGGAAACAACCCATTCTACACTTGGAGGAATATATGCGAAGCTTGCGGCATCTTGGAAAAGGTGTGAGACGGAGAGTTGGTATTAGACGATCGATCCAAATTTGAAAAGATAAATGGCTACCAACAATGAGCTCCTTGTAAGTGCAGTCACCGAGAGTAATGCTTGAGGAAGACAGTCTCGTAAAGAAACTTATGGACAGCTCAACCTTGTAATGGAAGAGGGAACTCATTTACAAAGTTTTCTCATAAGAAGAAGCAAAAGCTATATGCTACCTTCCAATCAATAAGCTGGGTGCAGAAGACAAAATAATGTGGCACTATCATAACAAAGAAGCCTATATGGTCAAGACTGGCTAAAATTGCCGAACACTATGTTGAATGAGGAATAGACACTTCCAGTGGCAACAGAAGCCAACACGACAAAGGTTTATCAAACAATGTGGGCCGTAGAGCTACCAAGTAAGATCAAAGCTCAGCTTTAGAAATTTTACCATGGTTTAATCCTGGCATTGGTTAACTTATATAATAGGATATAATAGGAAGCTGGATGTGAACAAGACATGGTTCATGTGCGGGACAACAGAAGAAACAGTGATACATGCCATTAGTACATGCTCGCCCGTTGCTCAAGTCTAGAAATCTTTGAACGTAAACCAGGTGATTCATGACAGTGAAACTAGGCATGCAATGTGGGTGGAGCAATTGTGTTTGTCATCTGATAAAGAGTAATTACAGGTCAGCATGATCACTGCCTAGGCTATATAGAATGAAAGAAACAATATTTCCCATGAGGAGAAGAAGAGAGACCCGTAGGAACTGGTACAATTCATCAGGAAGTATATGACTCAGTTTAATGCTCCACAAGTAAAAAACATGGCTCAAATAAATGGCCCGGTTATATGGAAACCGCCTAGCAATGAGATTGTCAAAGTCAACTTTGATGGGGTAACAGACACGAGAGAAAAGAAAGGGGGAGTGGAAGTTGTCATAAGAGATTGCACAGGTGAGGTGCTTGCAACAGCTTCCATTACTATGCCAGGCATAAATGACCCCTTCCATGCAGAAGCCTATTTAGCCACCCAAGCACTTATGTTTGCATCTAATATGGGGTTTAAGAGGATAATTCTAGAAGGAGATGCTCTGGGAATCATTAAAACCCTTAATTCAACAGGGCCAGATTTATCAACAATTGAAGTAACCACAGAAGAAGCAAACGAAAAAAAGAACCAGTTTCACACTTGTCTCACTATGCACACTCAGAGAAAGGGTAATATGAAAGCTCATTTGCGTTAAAAAATAGTTTAAGTGTAATAAAGAGTAGATTACGAATTGAGGAAAGTGCTGAGCTTATAGCTCATGGTTTTCTTGAAGGCTGTAAATCAATAAATGAATGAAATTTTCACTTTCTTTCCAAAAAAAAAAAATACTGTACTAATAGACAATATATGCTTTTCGATAACCAATACAAATAAATATTCACTCTAACATTGGAGTTGTACTTTGGGGGGTTCAATATTTTCCGATTCCATTCATTTTAATAATTGATAGGTCAAGCCTTGTGTTTGATAAATAGGACCGATATTGCAATAGATGGCCCTTGGACGTCAGCATTTGGACATCAAATCAATCAATAAGCAAAATATAGCTGGTTGTGCTATTCCAATTAATTGTACCTCCTCTTTTCTTTTTCCTGTTTCTTTGCATGCTTTCTTCTTTTTCTTTCTTATTGCTGTTTGCAATCAGTAGTCCACTACGATGAGGAATTACAAACATGTAATGATTGAGAAAGGAAAAAGTAATCTAGCATTAATGTGTGAGATGAATAACAGAAAATTAGTTTAGCATATAGTTTTTGGAGGAAAAGAGATGGCAGTGATGTTGTATTAACTACCTATTTATAAACATAAGCTTGTACAGTGTAATTAGTATTTATAAACTATATATGATTACAAGATAATCACAAGGAATTCAAATGTTCCTATTTAATCTATATGCTTATAATTGGTTATTTAATCTAGATGCTTATTGGTTGATTATCTTTATTTAGATTTCAAATATATATTCCTATGTAATCTGGATGTTTGTTGGTTGATAATCTTTATTTAGATTTCAAATATATATTCCAATGTAATCTGGATGTTTGTTGGTTGACTTATCTTTATTTAGATTTGATATGAAATCTTATTTCCTTTCTATATGCCCCGCAGGATGGTGAACCATTAGTGACACCAATCCCGAACAATAAGAATTGAAATCTTGCACGAGAAAAGGGCTTTGTTAGTGCATCTGCTAGTTGTTGGGTGGAAGAAACACGCTTGATATGTAATGAGCTAGCTTGGACTTACTTTCTATTCCACAAAGGTAGATTAAAATTTTCAAAAAAAAAAAACTCAACTACACGAGTAACGACATATTAGATAATTTTCCTACATATAATATTATATTTGAGATTAATTATAGTAAAATCTGTAGCCAAATGCGGGTGACATTCCTAGTAAACATAATAAAGTCTCTTCACTTGTTATCAACGAAAAACTCTCAAGTGATATTTTTCCCCAAATGACAACCAACAAGGCACGCTATCCTACTTCCAATAATCCCCTAATCTCAATCACTCAATACATAATCCATTTTTGGAAATAAAAAAAAAAAAAAAAAAACTTGCAAGCCTATCACCTAACAATCCATTTTCATTTTTACAGCCTTGCTGTCAAATGGAACCTAGGGACATGATTGCACCAGTGCTATTGGTATTCTCGAAAATGATGGATTTTGAAAGCGAAAAATTTATGCGCTAGTGTTAAGGTTTCATTTCTTTTTCTTTTTTTTTTTTTTTAAACAATAAAAGCTTTTGGCTAGATAGAAAACATCATCATCAAAGTTTTAAGGAGTTAAAAGAAAGTGTTACAATAAATGAAATTTTTTATTTGATGTAGATTTATAATTAAGTAAAATTCATTTAGTAAATAAATTAAAATCAATTGCTAATAAACTTAATACTTATTGTTTGTGTGCTAACAATATTCTCTTCACAATTTAAACGAATTCTAACAACAAAAATAAAATCAACACATTAACAAAAGAAATAAAGGGCAACAAAGAACAAGCACCATATCAAACATAAACATTGAAATCATGTTTAACTAGTATTCAGCCCGGAACAATTTAATAATTAATAATAAGTGAAAATGTTGTACTTGAATTTAAAACTAAGTACAATGTTACATGCACTAAAATATTACATTCAAATGATACACTCGCATAATTATTTTTTATTCTAATAACTTAAGTGAAAAATATTAAACTGTGTTTTGGGTTATAATAAAATTCTTAAAACTATTATTTTATGTGAGTGTGAAATATTCTTATTATAATAATGTATATATGGCATTTCCATAAAAGTATTTTAAATTGAATAATTTAATTGATATTAGATAATATCACTTAATCGCAGTCAAATTAATCACCACAATTGAGTTTTGGTGGTAAACCAAATAATAAAACGAAGTGCAAATTGAGTTGAAGGGATTGGAAATGCCAAGAAAGATATGGTTTGGGATGCAGATTTTAGAGTCCACGTGAAGGGATTTGCCTTCTCCTTATATACTTGTCCTACTCCACTCCAATTTTAGCGCCGCATATTTAAAGAGCGTGGACTCCTTCACCACTCCCTAAAATGATTTATTTTCACTTCTGATTTTGAAGGTCTAAGCACCAATATTACTACAGTCTATGGTACCACAAAATAATTTGTAAAAGAGAGGAAAACACTAACCCTCTCCCTTTTTATTTTTTTTTTCCTCTGAAAAAGCTCAAATTGTGTTCTCCCTAAATACATAACATTATTACTTTTATGTTTTTTTTTTTTAATATTTAAAATCACAAAATATCACATAACAAATTTTAAATTTAAGATGCTAAAATTAAATTTTTTTCTTAAATCTCAAAAAAATCAAACGTTAACAAAGAAAATAAGGCGAAAGGAGTACCACGTCTCTCCCATTTTTGTTTGGTCACCTTTTTTTTTTTTTGTGGCAAAGCTAGATTATTCTTCTTTCTATTTTTAACATTTATTATTTCTTTTTTTAGTATTATAAATAAATTTTTTATAATCTTTTAAAAAACTTTTATATTAAAAATTGAGTAAATATTTGATACAAAATTAGTGTAAATTTTTAATTACATAAATGATGTTAAGAGATTGATACCTTCTTAAACTCGCAGAGTTTAAAAATTTCACTATTAGTTTATTTTAAATTTCTCTTAAAAATTATAAAAAAAAATAATTTTATAAAAAAAATTCTAAACTTTGTTAGAGTACATTAAATGCAAAGATTTTTTTTAATCTCTTTAAAAGGTTTTTATAAGGGGATTAGATTTTCAAATGATCTTACCAGTATATTCAAGATTTTAGTTATGAAATACTCATAAAATCTACTCCCTTTCTCTTATATACAGTTGCTTATTTTGACTTTAGACAAAGTTTAAGAAATTTTAAATACTTGAATTTTGATTTGTATTGATTATATAAAAGGCATTTTTACTTTAATTATGGTCACCTTAGGAAAAAGGAAAATTTGTTGTTATATTTAAAGATAACAAGGAACACTAAAAATGATTTTTTTTTTTTTTAAAGAAAAGTAAAAGCATACAAACAAAACAATGTTGAAGTGAGTAATTAACAAGAAATAAGAAATTATTTTCTTATCAAAAGAACTAACTTAGCCATATCTCTTTAAAAATTAAACACGAACAGTACACCGAATTGTAGGGGAGCAATCGTAAAAGGAATAAAAAGGTTTCCAAACAGTGCCATAAGCCCATCTAGAATCCATGAACAAAAATGCGAATCCAAGAAGAAAGAAGAAGGGTTAAGGGGTTCTTCTGATATTCGCAAAAGCTTGAAGAGTCTCTCCCAAATACTTAGAGACACACACACACACATCCGGCCTCCCAACCAAAATGCTTTTTCCACTTAACTTTGTAGCATATTAGTCCATTGAAGATAGAGCCACGGATACCAAGATTTATCAAATCCAACCCTCAACTGAAAACAAAAGGCAAACAAACAAACCCTAGATTAAAAAAAAAAGCAAAACCCTGTGCTTTGGGGTCTGCAAGTGCAAGCTTGCTCGCAACTCTCAAAGCTTTATAGTGAAAAAAAAAATTCCTCTATTCTCTCTGCATATTACCACCCCACTTTCCCCAAAACCCCAAAAACACATGCTCTCCCATTTCCTTTTTCTTCACCATCATCACTTCCACCAAGGCTATCTCCTCCTTCTTCGGTTCTCAATCAGGCTTCAACAACTTATCTTCTTCTTGGCACTTCTTTGGAGCTGGTTTTCTTGATCTGGGTAATTCAGTTTTGCTGATAGCTGCCAAAGATGATCACGTTAACAGACTTCTACCATGTCATGACTGCAATGGTGCCACTTTACGTGGCCATGATTTTAGCTTATGGCTCAGTGAAATGGTGGAAGATCTTCTCTCCTGATCAGTGTTCAGGAATCAATCGCTTTGTTGCTCTCTTTGCCGTCCCTCTCCTCTCTTTCCACTTCATCGCATCTAACGATCCCTATGCTATGAACTTTCGCTTCATAGCTGCTGATACCCTCCAAAAAGTTATAGTTCTTGCAGTACTAGCAGTTTGGTCCAAGGTGAGCAAAAGGGGTTGCTTGGAATGGACCATCACCCTTTTTTCACTCTCTACTCTTCCAAACACTTTGGTGATGGGCATCCCTTTACTTAAAGGGATGTACGGAGATTTTTCTGGAAGCTTAATGGTGCAAATAGTCGTCCTTCAATGCATTATTTGGTACACCTTGATGCTTTTCATGTTCGAATATAGAGGTGCCAAAATGCTCATCTCTGAGCAATTTCCAGACACTGCTGGCTCTATTGTTTCAATCCATGTCGATTCAGATATCATGTCACTTGATGGTCGACAACCTCTTGAAACTGAAGCTGAGATCAAAGAAGATGGTAAGCTCCATGTTACTGTCAGGAAATCCAATGCTTCAAGATCAGATATTTTCTCAAGAAGGTCCCAAGGTTTATCTTCAACAACTCCACGCCCTTCAAATCTAACAAATGCTGAGATATACTCTTTGCAATCATCAAGAAACCCAACACCAAGAGGCTCAAGCTTTAATCACACTGATTTCTACTCGATGATGGCTGCGGGACGCAATTCAAATTTTGGTGCTGCAGATGTTTACGGTTTGTCTGCCTCGCGAGGACCAACTCCAAGACCATCCAATTATGAGGAGGACGGTGCAGCCACCGGCAAG